GGTGGCCATCTCAAAGGGCCCCACTTTCAGCAATGAACATGGAAATGTAAGGTAGCTAAAAGGGGTTTATTTTGAAGAGGAACATTTGTGTACTATTAAGGGATGTGTTGTTTGAGTCAAAAGGGCTTCTATGTTATCCTCATTATAATAAAGAATGGCACGAAAATCACGAGTGCTCAACACCTTCCATCGAAAAACGGCACAAAAATCACGAATGCTGCATATCCTCTTCGAAAATTGTTGCATATCCTCTATCAAATATATGGAAGGAAAATCACAAATGATCCATACCTTAAGTCAATTGGTAAGGTTTGAGGCTGACTGGTCTTAAGGGAAAGAAATTATGTACCAAACAAAGATTTTAAACAGAGAGGCTATTTTTGACCTTGACCCTTGACCTAAAAACTTCGTTCAAGGTCACTGCACATCCAATGACCAGTGGCACTCTGTGAGTGAAGTATGAGCCACATTGGACCAAGAGGAGAGAAGATATGCTATGGACAAGGATTTTTCATATAATTCTTCTATGACCTTGACCTTAGACCTAGAAACATGGTTCAAGGTCACTTCACACCCTTTATCCAAAGACACTCTGTGGGTGAAGTATGAGCCAGATTAGGCCAAGGAGAGAGAAGATATGCTCCCGACAAGAGATCTCGGACGGACAGACGGACGGAAGGAAGGACAGACGGATGGACGGACGGAGAGACTGATCACTATAGGGTACCCGCAGAGTGAGGCCTTAATAATCCTAGTTGATAAAAATACTTAGTTGATAAAAATACTGAATCAATCATGATGTTTAAATGTGGAAACTGAAGCAAAGAGAGTAAAGTATCAAAACAAAGAAAATTATTAATTTTCTTTAATTTTATGTTCAGAAAAAAAGTACCTGAATTATTCTAAGCATGTTACAACATTGTGCTGCCAATACTTTCCCAGCAATTTTTTTTTTGGTATATATATATATATATATATATATATATATATATATGTAAACAACTCATCCCAAGTGAAATTACTGTCATACATATGTAATAATTGATGACAAGGTATTTGACAACTTGCCTAAAACATGCATTTTTTAATTAACTTCATTGTTTATAAGTGTGTTGTTTATAAAAGTCATGTGTTTTGAAACTAATTGAATACTGTTAAACAAATGATGGATTCTTGATTATGGTCCATTCCATGGCATTAAATTTAGCAGAGATACGGGAAAAAAATAAATCAATTATGTTTTTTTAAACATACTTTATTCTAATTCATTAACTTTAAACTACAGTCAAACTCATTTACATTGAAATTTAAGGAACATTGAAATTTATTTCAAATTAATCGAATTTCATTATATCAGTGTGCCATGAGCTATACATAATACGTAGATACAGTAAAAAAAAAAAAACAAAAAAAACTTGTGTGCGAATTCAATATTTTTTTGTGTAAGAAATATATTTATTTTCTTAAAGAAGTTCGTAATGTTTTACTCTTTCTGTTGAAACCATGTTAGAAAATTATTATGACTATCTAAACATGGGAAAAAGTTCGTCTTGAACATTGGGCATTTTTAATTACCGCGTAGATGCAATTCGTAAAAAAAAAAAAAAGGAACATCTATAGAACAACCCTGCCTCATCTGCTTTTAAAATATATGCTTAACATACTCCAATATCAAATCAAGAAGTTTATTTCCAATCACTTACATGATTTATTTACTCGAGCACTCCTCAGTAAACCAAATTATACATGACACTCCTGCGAATTTTAGCCACGTCAGTCTCAATGCAGCAGTTAGTAAAAAAAAAAATAATGACTTAAATATTCTGGCGAGAAATGCTTAACTATTATCTTTATGCAAGATATACTTATATTTTTACAAGTCCAAGGACATCAAATCCCATGTGTGAAAAATTTACAAAATTATGCTAGACCTCGTGTATAATCAGTCACCTGTGCCCATGCATCACAATCGGTGACTTCAATGTAACCGTTATCAATACAACACACTTTGTGTTCAGTGGACCACAAAATCACTTCAAATTAACAGAGTTTTTCAATTTAACCAAATATTCATTCTAAACAAGTATTTTTTACAAAGAAACTGTACCAATTTTTTAGGGGAAACCAAATTCATTTCAAAGTAACCATGATTTTTTCAAATAAAGAGAGTACACTGTAAATGAGTTTGAGTGTATCTAACTACTTGTAGACTTATTTACTGGTAAATTTAAAGTGTTCTATGTCAAACGTGTCAATCATTCAAAATGGTGGAATACACAAACTAACAATGTGATATTTTTCAAACCAGTCCTTAAAGCTTAGAAAAATGTCCAGAAAATGAGGCTTGGATTTAGTTCCAGTGTAATATATGCATTCTGTACATGCTGTAATGTAATATATGCATCCTGTCAAACTATAGTTACTGCGATCGAGCTAAAAAAACAAGAGGCCCATGGGCCTTGAATCGCTCTTCTGATTAACTGTACAACCTATCACTTCTATTTGAAGCCTCAAAGTATCCTGTATATTTACATAAACCCTTGAAATTCCAATTCACACTCTGAGAACCCAAGATGATTCTAAGCCAATTAGTACCTGAGAGTTGCTCATGGTGACCTACTTATCACTTGTCATTCTCTGAGGACCCATCAACTAAGTTTGATGATTCTAAGCCAATTAATACCTAAAATATTTTTTAAAATTATAATCATAAAATTTTATAAGTAGGTCAAAGTGACCTACTTTTCAATTGTTTTACTCCAAGGACCAAAGATACATCAACTGACAAAGTTTGATGATTCTAAGCCAATTAGTACCTGTAATATTTAATTAAAGCCATAAATTTTCAAAAGTAGGTCACCGTGACCTACTTTTCAGTTGCTGTACTCCGAGGACCAAAGATACATCGACTGACAAAGTTTGATGATTCTAGCCAATAAGTACCCAAAATATTTAATTACAGCCATAAAATTTCAAAAGTAGGTCACTGTGACCTACTTTTCAGTTGTTGTACTCCGAGGACCCAAGATGCATCAACTGACAAAGTTTAATGATTCTAAGCCAATTAGTACCCGAAATATTTGATTAAAGCCATAAATTTTCAAAAGTACGTCAAAGTGACCTACTTTTCAGTTGTTGTACTCCGAGGACCCATGACGCATAAACTGACAAAGTTTTATGATTCTAAGCCAATTAGTACCCGAAATATTTTATTAAAGCCATAAATTTTCAAAAGTAGGTCACCGTGACCTACTTTTCAATTGCTGTACTCCGAGGACCAAAGATACATCGACTGACAAAGTTTGATGATTCTAGCCAATAAGTACCCAAAATATTTAATTACAGCCATAAATTTTCAAAAGTAGGTCACAGTGACCTACTTTTCAGTCAACCTACTCCGAGGACCAAAGATGCATCAACTGACAAATTTTGACGATTCTAAGCCAAATAATTCCTGAAAATATTAAATACAGCCATAAAATTTCAAAAGTAGGTCACCGTGACCTACTTTTCAGTTGTTGTACTCCGAGGACCCAAGATGCATCAACTGACAAAGTTTTATGATTCTAAGCCAATTAGTACCCGAAATATTTAATTAAAGCCATAAATTTTCAAAAGTAGGTCACGGTGACCTACTTTTTAGTCAACTTACTCCGAAGACCCAAGATGCATCAACTGACAAAGTTTGATGATTCTAAGCCAATTAGTACCCGAAATATTTTATTAACGCCATAAATTTTCAAAAGTAGGTCACTGTGACCTACTTTTTAGTCGACCTTCCCCGAAGACCCAAGATGCATCAACTGACAAAGTTTGATGATTCTAAGCCAATTAGTACCTAAAATATTTAATTATAGTCATATAAATTGAAAAGTAGGTCACGGTGACCTACTTTTTAGTTGACCTTTTTTGAGGACCCAAGATGCATCAACTTACAAAGTTTTATGATCATAGGCCTTAAAATGTCCAAATAATGCCTCTAAAATGCTTTGAAATCGAATGCCTGCAAAGTTCAAAAAGTAGGTCACTGTGACCTACTTTTTAATAATTATGTTTTTTGGCCCCAAGATGCATCATCTTACAAGATTTAATGATTCTAAGCCTCCCCGTATTCGAATTAATGACCTTAATTGTTTCAAAAAAGATTAGCCATTAAATTCAAAAAGTAGGACAAGGTGACCTACTTTTTAGTTGACGTACTTTGAGGACCCAAGATGCATCAACTGACAAAGTTTGATGATCATAGGCCTTAAATTGTTCAAAATATGCCTCTAAATCATTTTGAAAAAGAATGGCCGCAAAATTTAAAAAGTAGGTCACGATGACCTACTTTTGAGTCAACATGATATGAGGTCCTTAGATGCACCAACTGACAAGATTTGATGATCCTAGTCCTTATAGTAAGCAAAATATCAACATTTTAATAAAATGTAATTTTTGGTCAACTTTGAAGTGACCTTGAGACCACGCCCTTTGCCCCAGGGTAAATCCCCGTGCAAATTTTAATCTACAACATATCCTCATCCTTTTGTGTAAGTTTGGTGATAATCTGCCCAGTGGTTCTTGAGAAGAAGATTTTTTAGCAACCAGTACTTTTGTTTCTATTTTCCTAATTATCTCCCCTTGTTAAAGGGTCACAACCCCAGTTTTAGTATAAACGGGAGCCCTTGGGCCAAGGATACCCTGTGACAAATTTGACAATAATTGGCCAAGGGGTTCTTGAGTTATGGCCCATATTCTAAAAAGTTTACGCACACCGCACAAATGGCCATAGCATTAGCTCTTTGAGCCTTTGGCTCAGAAGAGCTAAAAATACCTTCACCCCAATTTCTTTCAATTTCTTTGAAAGTGCCCATTCATATCTTGTAAATGTGACCTTGAACTTGCAAAAAAGACCTTGGTCAAAAAAGAAGAATTTAATACTTTTTCTTCTAGTGACCTTGAACTTGCTAGAACCTGGATCAAGGTCAAGACACACTGCATAAGCTTGAAATAATTACTCTTTCTCAAGTTCTTCCATTCCCAGCTGTTGCATCCTTGTTATTTCCTTTTTGGCCTTTATCATCAAGTTCTGCTTGGCTTCAAATGTGCTAGACTTCATGTAGTTCACAATGTGTTGATACTGACCATCAGCAAACCGTGCAAGAGAGAGATACGCATCAAGAATTGTATCCCCTTTCTCCTCCAAACTCTCTAACAAACTCACTGTCTAAAAGAAATGTCATTTTTTCATCATTTCCAAATTCTCATTCTCATAGCATAAATAGGAATTCAACCAACTTCAACTTGCTTACCTTTTCAAGATACTCTTCCATAATGGTGTTAGGATCTTCTAAGTTAGTTTCTGCTGCCCAGTTTCCATACATACTAAGGACTCTAGGGTACAGCTTTGCTGCTTCCAAGTTGCTTTCTTGCAACTAAGGATGTCAAAATGTTCACTAAACAATTGTTCTAAATTCCAATGAGATGTAGAATTGGACTGATAAAAATCAGACATGGAACGTACATGTACATCATGTAAGGCTACATTTAAAACACCTAACATCTAAAATAAAATTTGAATCAATGTGTAACTCATTGTTTCATTTAAACAATAAACTGTTTTTAACAAGGTACCCTGCCCCCCCCCCCCCCTTTCCAAGTGTGATGATTCCAAAAATTCCTTTTAAAGGAATGATTTCAATGTTCAAAAGTTTCAAAGAAGCTGAAAATGTTCAAAAGTTTATATCAACACATGATGGACCATATAGCAATATTAATTACCAGAGTAATTATTTTCAAGATACATTAAAATTGTCAACTTCACAAATCAAACCTTACTTGCTCTAACATCTTCAACAACTTCTTTGTTAAGTGTTTGGCAATGTTTTGTTCTCCTCTGGACCAGAAAAGTTTTGCTTCTTCAGTTAGTTTATCAACTTGCATATGGAAATCTGAAGCTTCACAAGATTTCAGTTTACTTACAACTCCTTCAGCAACCTAAAACATAAACCTCAAAATAATGCAGTAGCCTTAAATATAAACCTCAACATAAGAAGAGCCTAAAATATAAACCTCAATATTAGTAGAGCCTAAAATATAAACCTCAGCATTAGAAGAACCTAAAATATAAACCTCAACATTATCAGAGCCTTAATATGAACCTCAACATCATGCAGTAATCCAAAATATAAACCTCAATATTAGCAGCACCTAAAATATAAACCTCAACATTATCAGAGGCTAAATATGAACCTCATCATCATGCAATAATCTAAAATATAAACCTATGATAACATCAGTAACCTATGCATAAAAAAAGTAATAATAATAAAAATAACAAAACAAACCAGATGTCTCCTATTCTGTATTGCAAGTCTTGTTAGATATAGTAATTCCTTCTGCATGCATGCTTGCACTGCATCTGTTTGGATGGGTAGCACCTGAAGTACAGAGAGTCTAGTGATGTGGATAGGTTCTATGTAATCAAACTCATTAAATGACACCCTCTCTTGCGCCCAGTTTTTCAGCACATCTTCAAGTGGTTTGGATTCTTGCCTGTAAATACAACAACAGACCAATGGGCTAGCAGGTTATGACCAACTTAACCCCACATGGACCTGGAACTCTGCTGTGACCATTTGAAAGGAATTTGATATTTTTTCTTTAACTTTTTAACTTTGATCAATATCTCATAAATCTTCCATTCCAAATTGTTAAGTAAGGCTGTGAACAAATAAATATGCACTCAAATATTTCATTTATGGTTTGACAGGCAAGAAAGGTTTTTATTATCTATACAGCATATCAGTTATCTTAATGAGGGTAAAAATAACTTAAACCATTTTCTTTCCCAGATTAAAACAAACCCTGTAAGTGCTCTGACAGTCTGATCAATCTGGTAGATACATTGCAGATCAGAAAGAATGGGATACAGACATCGACAGCTCTCCATGCTGGCATCTTGTAATCTGTCAACCGCATTTTTCCTAGTATGTACATAAAAGCTTACAATTAAAATACTACTCCATATAACAATTCCTATCACATGAATTCAAAAAATCACTTTAATTCTAAATTAATGTGAATTTATATGACAGGACAAATGATGACACCCTCCCCAATCACCAAAAGGGCATTCTCCATGAATGGATATTCAAAATTTGAAAACATTATCACTGCTATTTCATATGATATATGTCTCAAAATATATAATTTAGTACACAATTATGAAGAAACTGCAGATCATAAGCAATATTAAAGTAAAAATTCTGCAATCTTTGCAAAATACTGCTATGACCTGATCAAAACATTATTCTTTTGAAAACTTTAACCTTGACCTAATGGCCTTGATTCAGGATCAAGGGTTTTTAAACCAATTTAAACAGAACAGTGGTAAATATGAACTATGCATGAGCACTGTATTTAGGAAAACACTTCCTAAACATTTTGACCTTGACAAAATGACCTTAGCTCTTGGTTATGACACATCTCTGAACATATGCTTCCTTTGTATCAAGTTTGACCTTTTAATGATTATTATGTGTGTACAGATATGTCCCAGACGGAATTTTACACTAGAGACCCTATGACATTGATTTCTTCCAAGTAACTTTAGAGTCAGAACACACCTTCTGTGCATAAATGACCTTTTTGCTAAGCATGTATCTTCATTACAAAATTAAAGTTCTGTTTATTTTTTTCTTTTGTTTTGTTTTTTTTTTCAAATTTGTATTTCTTTCATCTTTTCATTGTCAAAATAAATGGTTAAGGTTCAGGATACTCTCCTGTCATTAGCATTTTTCTTTTAACCTTTGAGCTTCTTATATTTGTCAATTACAAAATTACAGATTGGAGAAGAAGTGATGAACAGGCAGCAGGACAGACAGAAGCACAATGAGATATTTTTAAGGATTTTAATAAAATTGAAAATAATTTTGCTATAGGTTATATAAAATTTAAATCAGTAATGCTGAAATTTTCACCTTGCCATATCCAGAGCAGAGGAAACAAGAGAGAACTGGGAGTGTTTTAGTGAACACAAGGATCTGTGCACTGCTTCATCAAAACTACATTCATTGCTAGAAAAATAAGAGGCCCTTGGGCCACATTGCTCACCTGAGCACTTTTGGTTAGGAAAAATCAGTAAACAGTTCAGTATTGATAAATTTATATATAAAGGGGGATGATTTGAACAAACTTGAATCTGCTTCTGAATTAATAAGACTAATTATGGCTTTGATGTTCTTGAAAAAAAGACTTTTAATTATTTTTCCTATGTATTCCAATGTAAAACTTAAAACTATGATCTCCCATTGTGGCCCCACCCTACACCCGGGGCTCATGATTTGAACAAACTTGAATCTACATTACCTAAGAATGCTTCCATATGAATTTAACTTATCATAGCTTTGCTTCTTGAATTTTTTTTTTATACAAATTCCTATGTAAAACTTTGATCACCAATTGTGGCCCCTCTCTACCCCTAAGGGTCATGATTCGAACAAATTTGAATCTACACTATCTGAGAATGCTTCCATGTAAACATGAGCAACCAATGCTTTGCTGTTCTTAAGAAATTTTCAATTATTTTTCTTTTTTCCTTTGTAAAATTTTGATCTCACATTGGGGCCCCTCCCTACCCCAGGGGTCATAATTTGAACAAATTTGAATCTACAATTCCTGAGAATGCTTCCATGAAATATAACCTATCATGGTTTTGGTGTTCTTGAAAAGAAGTTTTTTAATTATTTTTCCTATATATTTCTTTATAAAACTTTGATTGTCCATTATGCCCCCCCCCCTTCCCCCCTGGGATCATGATCTGAACAAACTATAACCTACACTTCCTGAGGATGCTTCCATATAAATATGACCAATCATGGCTTTGCTGTTCTTGAAAAGAAGATTTTCAATTATTCTTCTTATGTTTTCCTTTGTAAAACTTTGATCCCCCATTGTGTCCCCTCCCTACCCGTGGGGGGGGGGGGGGGGGGTCTGAACAAATTTGAATCTTCACTACCTGAGGATGCTTCAGAATAAATATGACCAATCAAAGCTTTCCTGTTCTTGAGAAGTAGATTTTTAAAGATTTATCCAATGTATTCCTATGTAAAAATTTGATTGGTCATTGTGGCCCCACTCCATCCCGGGCGGTCAAGATTTGAATAAACTTGAATCTACACTACCTGAGGATGCCTCCACAGAAGTTTTACATTTTTGGCCATTAATTTTTCACTCATTTGTAATTATTGGAAGAAGGCATGGCCCTTCATTTGAAAAAGCTTGAATTCTCTTTACCCAGGGACACTTTGTGGCAAGTTTGGTTGAAACTGGCCCAGTGGTTTTTGAGAAGAAGTAGAAAATGTGAAAAGTTTACAGATGGACAGAGAGATGCCAGACAAAATGTGATCAGAATTGAAGCTCACTTGAGCCTCAGGTGAGCTAAAATTTATAGGAAAATTAAATTTGAAAATTAAGCTACATATATTTTGAATAACATAAATACTTCTCAACAGAAAACTACAGTATCAATTATGTTTTGATGTTTCAGAAAAGCATAATGATGGAGCATTATCAAACAGAGACCCTTCTGAAGTTATTTTTACCTTTCATCTATGTTTAGATCCCACTTTCCGACTTTGATTGCAGACTTGAAGATTAGATTTCTTATTGCATCAGACTTTATATTTGAATAATTTTCTAGGTAGCTGTCCAACAAGTTTTTCGATCCAAAGCTGTCAAGAGCCTATTTGTTTAAATTGTAATAAACATGAAATTTTCCCCCATCTACATCAGCTATCATTAGTTATCATTAGCTATCATTTGTTATTAAGTAGAGCTGCACTTTACCTTAAGTAAGTCCACTTCTTGTTCACTGTGTTGCTGGAGCCCTATGTCATATGTGATGACAGCCTTCTCCCACTGACCCTCATGTTCATACATCCTTATTCTATTTAAAACAAGAACAGCAATAACCTAAGTATCAATGATAATTATCATACCATTAGGGGACATAATTTAGGTGAATTCAGCATGCAATCTTTGAAATGTGGGCCACAAGATAAAACATTCATATTCTTTTTAATTCTAAAATTTAATTATATACACCAGAATTGATAAAAAAAATTACAACAGTCTATTTTACAATAATGGTTCAACAAAGACAACTTCAGTTACCTAGACACTGGATCTGCAAGACGCCCTGCCCCACACCCATATACCCCATCTGGATCCCCAATCTGTCTGTAGGCCTCCAGGAGTATGTCCTGTACATTCAAGGTCACCTCACCAGAAATGGAACTCAGAGAATCGACCTGGGAATCTTGTGTAAAACTCTGGCTTACAGCCTCACTTAATGAAGAGGATTTCTTCAATGTCTCTTCCTGTTTTATCCTAACAAATGTTTTGTTTTACTCTGTTATATTGTATCATATTGAAATAATGAACTGTATTTTACAAAGAAATATTGATATACTGGAGTATGATCCAAGCCATAGTCCTTCTCAAATACACATATTAGCATATCACCTTTTTAAACTATAATTATGAATTTCTTTGCAACAGAAGAGTTGACAGAAGATTTATAATAACAATCTGCAAAATCTCAAGACTGAATTGTTTTACAAACCTCTGGCAGTTGCACCAAATCTCTGCATAAAAAACTGCAGAGAAATGTGCAGAGGAGGACAAAGCAGCCTTGGCTATGTGGAGATAATTGACATCCAACCAGTAGTTATTATCCCACACTGTCAGTGGATTTCTCCTGTAATATATTGTTTTCAAGTTGCCATTGAATATTAATTTATAATAATAAATACTTTTGTAAACTGTAACTAATGTTTTTACCTCACATTAACAGATTCAAGGGTCAAGGTAATAATCATAATTACAACTAGACTCTTGTTGCCATGGCAACAAAAAAGTCTTCCGTTCTTCTAAATCTGTAAGAATTTGCTTTTTTCTGTGTCAAAAACATACATATCATATTAACTGTGAAAGAAAAAATAACTGGAAAAAAGTTCTTTCAGTACTTATGGTACTTTGATTTTCATGATCAATCTTGTATAATGCATTTGGCACCTATGAGAGATATACGTATATCATAGAGCAAGAATGATTAGCAATTTAAAAAAATTGTTTGCAATCATTTCTAAGACAAACAGACGAACGAACACCGTACTATCAGCTATCAAGATTTGACAGCATACCTAAGTAGTATAGAGGGGGACATTATATCCAGGATTGAGGTTCAAAATTGAGGTTCAGTTTAGACCAGGAAGGTAATTAGGGAGGACCGTAACAGGAAGTCAATAAGTAGTATTAATACGAGGATTAGAATGATGAACAACGTTTCTTCGTTATTAATTTATTTCATTTGATATATGAAGATATCCAATCACAATTAGCGCGCTGTGGTTAATTAAAAGAATTGGTGATCAAAAAAATTGATTTTGATAAAGATGAACATGTAGTATAGAGTGATGCAAAATAAGCAGATATGAGGTTTGAGGTGGTGAACCCGACATAAACCCGGAAGATAATTGTGAAGGAGTATTAGTATTAACGTAATCCGGAAAATAACTTGATCCGAAAGTATTGATTAATCTTCTTGAATGACAGATTACAAGTAGAGAAAATCAAATTGTTTACTTGTAAAACAATTAAACTCAGATTCATCACACAAAAATTTAAAATACAGATACAAATTTAGAAAATGTTTAATAATGATTGTGAAGGAGTTTTGGCTTAATCCGGGAAACAACTTGATTTGTCTTTTTGAATGAGAGATTATAAGGATAGCATATAATTATTATCTGTATTATAAGAGTATATATATTTGATTTAAAAAAGAGAGGATGAAGAAACGTGTAAATTTTAGCAAACACAACTCTGTTATAAATAACCCGTATGAAGATCGACAAGGGTATGGATGTAGATGTCGTTTCAAGAGACGAATTGAAAATGCATCAGATATTATTGAATCGGTTTTTGATGAAACATCTTGAGAAAATATCTCTTAAATTTGTAAAGTGTAGTCGATCATGTTAGTTCAATTCAATGACAGCATACAATCATCGAAATCCATACTTCCGATTTGTATTATTTAATAGTCATGATTAATCTATAAAAACACAAAACTGTTAAGACCGGAAACTACGTTTCTGACAACACAATTTGATGATACATTTACTTTCATTTGTCTCAAAATGAATTCTCACTGTAAACTGGATTTTGCTAGTCTACGATTTTATTTAAGATTTCAAATCCTTGCTCAGATATTTTATTTATTGTTTAAATTTTTATGTAAAAAATTCAAATCTTTGTTCATATATATACTGGTATATATTTTATTTATTTTAAAGTTAGATAATCAGGTTAACAAATTAATCATACCCCACCCTTCTTTACTAGAAGATATTTTTGTAAATAATAACTTGTACATATTTTAAGTATTTTGAGATGTACAGACATTCTTCCTTCGAAAGGGAACTATGAGTATAAGTAGGTTGGATTACCACTTGCAGAGCAGAATTAAATCCAAGTTCATCTGAAATACAATGAAACTAACTAATAAATGAAACTAATGTAGTATTACAAACAGAGACTATATTATTACCTACTTAATTATCAGGTGGGACCAGTACATACTGATCTTGAAATCTATCTAATTCTATTTCCACTTCTGAATTATTTAATACAGAAGGATAGAGGGTTAGCATATCGCCCCTCAATCGCTTAATGCGAGATTTCAACATCCATCTGATACTTTTAAACTATTCTGACAAAGTGTCAAGGTCTTCTTTTTTCATGTTTGACCCATCGCCTGAATTCATAATATTTATAAAATTATAACGCCAGTTGAAGGAACGGGGTTTCCCTAAATTTTGGCCCTTTTAAAATAAGAGGTTTTAGGTCCTCATTATTAACTATATTTACTTGACCAGTAATGAATCTGTATGTAAAACAACGATACGTGTAAGTCCCTTCAATGACAAACAGTTCTACACTCTGGCATACACACCTTTGCTCACAGTCATTATAAAATCAGACCATTTGATAATCATGAGTAAGACCATGAACCATGAATTGTGAAAATTGGTTATATAACAAGACACATCTAATTTGTCATATAAATTTATTGACTATGTATATTTTTTAGTTTGATGCATGTATTTTACACAATATGTAAATACATCTTCATCATAACATGTCAATTTGATAATAAAGAATTAGATTTAAACAAAGACTTTGTTTTATTGTTACATAATATCAAATCACTTGTACGTGAATTATTCATCCCTTTCCCCGTCGTCAGATTCTTCCTCGGAATGATCCTGGTAAAAGCTGTCATCAACCTCCAACAACTGATCAAACTCATGTCTATATTTATTAAGAGTACGGGAAACCGCTCTTTCCAGATTTATATCCTTTTTCTCCATAAGGGTTGAAACATCTTTCTTGATGTCGCGATGGAGTTTGCTTCGATTCAATTGCGCCAAAATTAAAAGAATTCTTTTGTACTTCTTAAAAAGTAAGTTTCTGTCTTTGGGTAACATCATTTCGCTTACTTCCTCTCGAGCTTCCGTTTTGGATAGTTTTGAATTTTCCTCCATAAGCTTATAAATTTTTTTTTCGAATTGAGATTGATTTTCCTCCCATACTTCATTGACTAGAGTAGCGAATCCTTTGTCATCATCTTCGTCACTGACGTCAGACATGGTGTCGCTTTCAGCTGTATTTTCTTCCATTGGGCAACCATTTTTGATATGGCGCTGTAAATCGTATGAGCTGGCATACATGGTTCCGCATTCGGCGCACGATGGGTATTTCTCGTCAAAATGCATATTTCTCGAATTAAGTTGCGATGGCCAAGGATAGGTTTTAAGATTATCAGCAGCTCCCATTGGTTTTCTTTGATAATACAACATATTTTTTTCATGATTATCCTGCATTGGTTTCTGAAAAGGCATCTCCTCGCTTTGATCGTCGGTGTGAAGAGTTTGATAGTAGGACGGGTAACCTGGAAACGTCTTCTGTGTTTGATATTCTGCTTTCAAATGATATCCAAAGTAGTCTCGCGCTCTTATATATGGTTCAAATATGTCCGTCTGGAATCGCTTTGATTCCGGGGTCATTTGCTTTAAATCTAACACTAATGCTCCGTATGGGATTGATACAGCTTTTTCATAAACGTCTAGAAGCTTCTTAGAATTTCCTGGGTACATCTGCCGTGCTAGGATTCCGATCTGTTGTCTATCTCTGGGATTTTTAAACAGAACTATGTACTGACTGTTTAAACTCATGGTTCGATTTTCTTTTCCTTTGTTGAACAAATTCTGCATGATACAGATCACACTTAGGTTGCGATGGTGTGCACCTTCTGTAAACAGCTCACAGATCTCCTTGTCCTGGGTTGCATCCTTCATCATGTCGTCAATGATCAAAAGAGTTCTTTCCCGGGGGTTGATAACTGTATCTGAATTAATTTCTTCTGTAATGCCTCGAATAAATATTATACCAGGAATCCAGTACTTTAGTTCATCATAAAGAGGCTGCCATCGCTTATAAATCCACAACATTCTCTCTGGTACTGGACTTATGAGCTGTTTACTGTGAATTAATAGTTCCTTGATCCATGTGGATTTTCCAGACATTGTCGGTCCTGCGACAATCATTGTGAAGGGATGGATAAATTTAAACTTCTCATCTTCTGATGACTTTGTTGGAAGAGGCAAATCTTGAGGAGGAGGGGGAGGAGAGGGAAGAGGAGGAGGAGAGTCCTGAAGAGGAAGAGGAGAGTCCTGAAGAGGAGGTAAGTCCTGAGGAGGAGGAGGAGGAGGAGGAGGGGTAATCATCTCCTGACGATGAGGATATGCATGAGTGGTCTGAGGATATGGTTGGCTTTTTTCATGAGCAATACGTTCATGCCTCCTCATTTTTTTCCCTATTTTCCTGAATTCAGGAAAATAGAAAACAAAAAAGCTAAAAAGAGTTAAAAAGACGCATGTCCAGACGCCAGACGAAAGTGTTGATCAAATGGCAGGGATATAAAAAAAATTAATTCCTGGGTTAAGGAGTATGAATTACAGGATATATAAGAGGATAAAGTGAAGATTCGTTCATTTTGTCCTAGACAACCATGCGGTCAATATCATGCTCTATCTGCCAGCGTAAATTTTCTAGGTACGATAACATGAGGAGGCATGAACGTATTGCTCATGAAAAAAGCCAACCATATCCTCAGACCACTCATGCATATCCTCATCGTCAGGAGATGATTACCCCTCCTCCTCCTCCTCCTCCTCCTCAGGACTTACCTCCTCTTCAGGACTCTCCTCTTCCTCTTCAGGACTCTCCTCCTCCTCTTCCCTCTCCTCCCCCTCCTCCTCAAGATTTGCCTCTTCCAACAAAGTCATCAGAAGATGAGAAGTTTAAATTTATCCATCCCTTCACAATGATTGTCGCAGGACCGACAATGTCTGGAAAATCCACATGGATCAAGGAACTATTAATTCACAGTAAACAGCTCATAAGTCCAGTACCAGAGAGAATGTTGTGGATTTATAAGCGATGGCAGCCTCTTTATGATGAACTAAAGTACTGGATTCCTGGTATAATATTTATTCGAGGCATTACAGAAGAAATTAATTCAGATACAGTTATCAACCCCCGGGAAAGAACTCTTTTGATCATTGACGACATGATGAAGGATGCAACCCAGGACAAGGAGATCTGTGAGCTGTTTACAGAAGGTGCACACCA